ACTTATTGAATAAAAACTAAATCTTAATAGTACATAGTTCAGTAGGAAAATATGAATTTCAATGGTGGTGAGTGACAAAATAATATTTATCCAAAATGATATTTATCCATTATCCAAAGTAAGAACTCAATTCTGGAAGTTGTAAAAAGATATGTGTGAATGTAGGTGAAAATAGAAAGGTACAACAAGCTCAGTTTCCTGTTCGTGGATGTCAAGCGTCATTTCAAAGTGACTTAGTTTACTTAGTGTTGGTTATCAGGACATGTATGTGGCGGCTAGCGAGGGACTGGGAGGTCTGAAACATGAAGTTGGAGGGGTCATGTCGGAGTCTTATGCTTGTATTCTTACAAATTAGATGTCTGGTCAGGTTATTTAGGTGTCCATAGACTAATCGAGGGCATACCCAATATGAAGTGAAATCGGCCGCGGTCAACAAGGAAAGCGTCGGTCCCAATTGCGCCGGTGCCCGTCGGGGATGTAGCCCCGGCCAGTTTCGTTCGGGCTCTGGAGCCTGGCGGGCACCGGTTGTTGTGGTCACAATTAAAAGTTTCCTTCAGTGGCATTTTGTCACCCTTATCGGTCGGTGTCCGGAAGGCACCCGGCAGGTACCCGGCAGCTTCACTGACGATGTCTTGTACTGACCCAATTAATACAGAGTTCACGCTTTTGTTGTGATCCTCTGATCTGTGACGTCACACGTTTGACACGGTCTTACGAAGTACACATCTTTACTATGTAAATTCTGTAACGATTCTTGTATTGAAGATGAATCGCATTTTATGCTTGACTGTATATTTTATGATAACGAACGTAAATCACTGTTCAGTTCAATTAAGCTCGACAAAAAATGTAAAACATTATCAAAGGAAGACACTTTTAAATATATCATATCATGTACAAATATAGACGTCATCAATGAAGTATGTAAGTATATTTCAAAATGTTTCAAAAGAAAGAAGAAGCCATTAGAACTTAGATCTATACCACTTTATATAGATATATCCCTTTTTTTAGCATTGTACACCTTAGACCTGATGTTAGCCCTTCTTTATTACTATTGTTGTAGTACTCTCTAGTACATTGTACTTTGTACATCCGGGCATTTATTCCCCCGGGGAATGAACATGCAATAAAGTTTCAAATTAATTATGTGTATCTGGTCTGTGACGTGACAAATTAGTCCCGGTGGACTGCCGGCAACCGGAGGGGTACCTCTCGGTGTTCTAACAGCTCGGTCACGGCGTCTTTTTGCCAGCAGGGCCCGGGTAGAATTTAAGTCAGAATTAAACTCTTCTCGGGTCCCCGCCGGGCCCAAAAATAGCCCGTTAGCCGCAGGGTGTCCCATGGGGCACCTTAGGCGTCACGCCCGAAAGTGCCAAAAAACAGCAGACGTTAGAGGGTGATGAACAGTCATCATTAATTGTAGATGTCTCCATCATTAATTGGAGACCAATATGTACTATTAGATCTGAGTGACAGTATGAGTTGATGGGTGAGATATTGTGACAGTCATTTTCCACATCTGTCAGGGGCCCGTAAAGATGGATCCATGGGTGGTAAACTGAATGTTTCCTATAGACCTCTTACACAGCTAACAGTGACTCCATCTCCCACTCTAAAGTGTATGAGCCCCACTCCTCTCTCTCCCACTGTGGAATTCTGACCAGAGCAAAACCACCAAACACAGAAGGGAAAATAATTGATTTGTTATCTCCAACGCCAAGACAGTACCGATCTTTGATACATTCAGCCGGGCTCAGCCATTGATGCTGTAAATGACATCTGATGTAGACACGCGTTCCTGCATGGGCTTCTTTTTCAGGCCACAGCTGACCCATTGTCCAGTCGCTGCATGTCGTGAGGTATATATGTCAGCTGATTGTGTTCTTTGTTACTTCTTTGTCCTCGCTTAGAGCCAGCATCATTCAAATGCAAAGTAGGGCACCTTTCGTTCTATAAATTGGGTCCTAGCCCCTCGTGAAGAAGTGGTATAGGTTTTGGGCCCCCGACAGCATTTCACCTCTCAGAAAACGGGTATTTTGTTTTTGGTGTGTCTGTCCGTCTGTCTGTTCGTGTTTATGGTACATTGGTCAGCATATTAAACTCAAGACGTTATGGATGGATTGTGATGGTATTTGGTACGTAGCTTAGTCTTGAAAAGAGACAAATATGATGTTGTGACTTCTTGGGAATGCATTCCTGGGGAAATAATTGATAATTATTTAATCCCATAATATCCTTGATAAACAATATCTTTTTACATATGAGCGAAAATACTCTACGTTTGGGACCACATTCTTAACGCTGCAGCAGCGACACCTAGCGGCAGAGAGAGAAAGAACCACTCAGGACTGATTCCCTCGGCAGCAACATGGCGTCCAGCTTACAGTCCGAGAAGCGACGGTCACAACTCGCCGTACGTGCTTCTGCGTGCTGTCTACGTGCAAAAACGTGGGCAATCGCACGGCATCCGTGCGTGGTGAGTACCACCTCCGTACGGAATCCTACGGATTTGGGAGCACGCAGACACGCCGTAGAACTTTAAGTGCATGTAATACTTTTTCTACGTGCGGTCTGCGGATTTACCACCCGTGCGTGCGAGTACGTGCGACGCGCGTGCCCCGTACAGCCTATGAGCGTGCAACGTACGGACTCCGTGAGTCTAACTTCACTATTCTCACGTGCAATTGCTGTACGGACAGCGCACGAAGCATGTGCGTGCCACGCACGGTGCTTGCGTCATCCGTGCTTACTCCTCACTTCCCAGTTGACCTGCTCAATGACCACGCAGAACACACGTGCACCATACCAGGTGCTCCGCACGTGCAACGCACGTGCAACGCACCTGATTTCTACAGTATATAAAGACGACTTGACCGGCGACTGCCAACTCGTCTCCAAGATGCCCAGGAAGGCTCAGAAGAAGACTACCAGACAAGACCCAAGAAACGGGCCGCGGAAGACACCAGGGCGGCTAGTGATGATGAAGTTAACAGGAGGTGCACGCACTTACAACGTGCGAGTTAGTAAGGAAACCGTGCGTACGCCGCACGTGTAGGTACGGCCTGTACGCGGCAACGTAGCAATCGCACAGAGATCGTGCGTTGTAAGCACGTACAACTCACTTACCACTTGCGCAACGTACGATGCACGCAACCGCTGACGGCCAGGCGTGTCGTGCAGACCACGTACGTACACCTTGCGCAACCGTGCGAGTGACGTACTCCCTCGGCCGGCCACCCTACGTTTGCAGAAAAAACGTAGCAGACGTAGCCACGACAAAAACGTACGGACAAAAAGCACGCACGGCGAGTTGTGACCGAGGCTAGAGTCAGACGTACCGCTTCCCGTTGTCAGGAGTTATTAACGTTACATGGACTTTCACGGTAAATTCACTTATTGCAAAACCGGAGACCGTTTGCTTTTATGGCTGTACTGACGACCCCAAACTCCCAAGAGCGTGTTGAGAGTGATGGAGGGCCGGGTGTTCTGTATACATGCAGTCCAACCCAACGTTCATCCCCCTAGAACACACATCGGTCGCTAGCGTCGGGTGGTGTAGTGGTTAGAGCATAATCGACCATGAACCGTGGAGACCCGGGTTCGATTTCGAGTCGTACCCGGTACACGTCTGAACATGCGCTCCGACGTTGTGCCCTTGGGTAAGGCACTTTACACGAATTTCCTCACTCCACCCAGGTGTGAATGGGTACCTAACTTCGGTTGGGGAAAGTCGTATTGAGGTCACCTTGTGGCGCCGAATGGCAGCCGCACAGACCCTTGCGACATTTCCACAAAAAATAATTGTGGAACAAATATGTGTATCATGTGTATTATTTGATTGTTGTAATTGTTGTGATTTGCATTGATTATTATGTGATACCCTGCATCAATTCAGCCGTATAAAGGCTGCGACTGCACGGGTACTGTTTGGACAATAAACACCATTTATTATTATTATAGCCTGGTTACCAAACCTATTACAGCTCCCTAGTCCTACATCCGCTATTTGCAGAGGATGTAGGACTCGGGAGCTATATTAGGTTTGGTAACCAGGCTAATCGGGCGCGCACCATGACAGACAGGGCCGGTGTGCATGCGTTCACCCCCCTCCGCTCCACATAACATTGAAGACACAACCTTTAGCGAAGTTAGATGATGGGAAGATAAGCAGAGAAATCCGTAACTCTCGCCTCTAGCTCACCTACCCCTCACAAACTGTGATCTGGATGAAATAAAAGGAAAGCAGAGACGAATCACTCATTTCAAAGTTTTACACACAAAAACACAAAGAAACACACACAAACGCGCACGCACACACACACACGCGCGCGCGCACGCAAGCACAAAGTACACATCTTCTTTTCGAAGGTGATAAGAAATGTCGAAGTTAGAAAGTTTGGGATAGTCAGCTGTACTTTCAGGTGGTGATTTCATTTATTTATTCATTTTATTCATTTATTTATTACACTTAACCACATACATAATATCATATGGATGTTGTATAAACCCATTTTTGCTTTACATTCGTCATTCTTTCAGAAATAGCACATTTTCGCTGAAGGAGGGCCTGGAGCTGAAAAGTTTGTTTTTTTCATTTCCAATATTGGCTTTCGTGTTTGGTTATACAATGTAGCAAGGACGTTATATAGGGTACAATAAACCCTGCTCCCTCCCCACTCACAACTACGTATGCGTTGCCCACTGGGAAATGTACTTCCCCGTACTTCAGTAGGCATCCTAACGAAATCGCCAGGCGGCATTGACAGGCTACTGCTGCTGCTTGTGTCCGCAGTCCGCTGCAAAACCCATTTGGACATGATTACATGTTAGTCACGTTAGAAGTAATCCCATGCGGGACTTTGCGTGTCTCGGCGGTCATGTAATATTCATGGTAATATGGAAATAAATGGCTTTCACTGCAGTGAATCCGCGTTTGCCCTTATATGGAAAGTGCATTAGTGCTCGCAGAGAGGCTCCAAAAGGGGGTTATCTGCAAAATAGGATGTTTTTTGTGCGTGATTCGGCTTTTTGCGTGTGGCATGCCGAGATTGCTGTGCAAGCTATGTAATGCTTCCGGCCTGCCATCTTCCAAGTCAATCTGAGGATTTTACAGATTCACATCCTGTGGAACAACCCTCCACGGTAAGTCGAGATTTAATGGACGCTGTCTTGCAGAAATGTTTGCCCAAACGGTCAGTCTTTGTAAATCCAGTATGTATTCCTTTGTGCGCCTAGACTGGCTGAAAATTCGTGCATCACACTATGATGTAGTCAAGTGAAGTCATGACATTCTGCACTGTACAGCATTCTGCCTTCTAGTCCTAGTATCTGAGCTGAATTTTGCGCTGTAGTTAGGCTGTCATACAGGTGTGGTCAGACGGGCCATCGCGCCCTCATGTACATCACCACTTGTGATGTATATCCACCCCGGAACTTTTCCTGTTAAGGGCTTGAATGAACAGTGGATTCCATACAGTGTAATATTCCATTTTTCAAACCTCAAAAACATCTAATACAGATGTCGATGAATTAAATCATGATACAGACATTTACTCATGTACGTTGAGATGACACATTGTGAAGAAAAGTATCCCTACATATGGTGCCGAAGTTTATTTTCCATTAGCATTCTCTATTGGATCCATTATATGTTTGGATATCCGATTATCATTGGAATGTTTTTCGGGTGCGTTCTGGTGCGGAGTTCATGTGTCGTCAGTCACCTGGTAAATATAAATCCGACATTCCTCTACGTCCTTCCCGCGTTAGCCATTTGTCGGCCATGGCATGATTACATGCAGTTTTCCCCACTGCGAAAGGGCAGCGCGAGTTGCATACAAAAATAGGATGAAAATCTAGGCTTGCTGCGTTTCGCTTGGAATCATCAAACCGTCCTTGCCAAATTGTCCCCTGATTGGGCGTAGATTTATCCGCGGTGTTTTCTCTCTGCCTCATTCTGACAAGGTAGTTTCGGCCAGGCCGCTGTGATGTCGTCTTAGGGATGGCAGCCGTCGACTGATGGCGGCTAGAAAATCTGGAGTGACGTGACAGGATTGTTATATGTCAATACAACGCCCAAATACAGGTAGGGAAACATCTGCTCTAATCTTACAGCACATGCACTCTTAACGTAAAGTACCCCCAACAAGACAAATACTTGACTGTTTAGTTGTATATCTTTTGGAGGTAAGAATACTGTGGTGACGTGTAAACTTTTGTTTACAGTCTGTCCCGATGGTCGTGCCTTGGCATGGGTGCCAATGTCATGTCCACCATAGCAGAACTAATTGAGCGTTGGGGCTTCACACCCGTCCTACACCCTACCACTTATAAGAACGAGGTGGTATTGGAGCCCGGGGACGATGCCGCTGAACTGCAGCCCCGTGACTATGTTCCCGGGGACCCGGAGAAGGCCGACGCGATCAAACTCGACGAGAAAGATACGAACAGGAATTCCGGACTCAATAGCTTCACGACGTCCCATTCCCGTTCCTTGACGAAAATCCAAGAGATCGCGCCGGATGACTCGTTCCTCAGCGATGGCTATGGTGCTTCAGACATGGGTCACGAGAACTGTTGTGAGCGCATTGTTATTAACGTAGCGGGCCTAAGGTTCGAGACCCAGGTAAGAACGCTAGCCCAGTTCCCAGACACTCTACTTGGCGACCCACAGAGGCGAATGCGATATTTCGACCCGCTGAGAAACGAACATTTCTTCGACCGGCACCGCCCGAGTTTTGAGGCAATCTTATACTACTACCAGAGCGGAGGAAGACTACGACGTCCTCTTAATGTCCCTGACGAAATTTTCCAAGAAGAACTCAAGTTTTATGAACTAGGCGATGAAGTTATTCAGCGATTCCGTGAGGATGAGGGGTATATCATCGAAAAGGAAGAACTACTACCGAAGAATCCATGTCAGAGGTTAATTTGGACGATGTTTGAACATCCTGAGACGGGCTGGCCAGCTCGGAGTATCGCTATCTTGTCTGTGTCCATTATCATTCTCTCCATTTTCACCTTCTGCCTCGAGACCATGCCAGTTGTTCAAGAGGAAATCAAGAAAGCAAGAGGCAACCACAACATCTCTGGTCCAGACATGAGCGATGACATACCCCAGATTAACGATCCATTCTTTATTATAGAGACAATATGCATAGTTTGGTTCACCTTCGAGCTATTGGTAAGATTCTTGTCCTCGCCAAGCAAGATCCAGTTCTCCAAGAACTTCATGAACATAATTGATCTCATAGCAATAATCCCTTACTTCATTACCCTCGGTACACTAGTTGCAGATTCTAGGAGCAAGAACCAGTCTTCCTCCCTCGCCATCCTTCGAGTCATTCGGTTAGTTCGCGTCTTCAGAATCTTTAAGCTTTCCCGTCACTCTAAGGGATTGCAAATTTTAGGATTAACACTGAAGGCAAGTATGAGAGAGCTTGGTCTGTTGGTATTCTTTGTTTTCATAGGAGTGATACTCTTCTCAAGCGCAATCTATTTCGGCGAGACTGACCACAAGGAAACTCACTTCACCAGTATCCCGGACGCCTTTTGGTGGGCCCTGGTCACGATGACGACTGTCGGCTACGGTGACATGTACCCACAGACAGTTGGTGGGAAGTTGGTCGGGTCGCTCTGCGCAATTGCAGGCGTACTGACCATTGCCCTGCCCGTACCTGTCATTGTGAGCAACTTCAACTACTTCTACCATCGAGAGACCGCCAGTAAAGTTGAAGAGGACGAATATCAGCACGTCGAGCAGCCCTGTCCGTATGTGCCAGCCGAGAAGAAGATGATCACACCTAGTGACGACATTGACCTATCAATAGGAGATAAGGGCGAAGAAGGGTCAGACGTTCTACGTAGGCCCAATCGCATCGATTTGCAGAAGACTAACCTTGACCCGGACGCCTCCGAGTGCTCATGCGTTCACGTCAACCGTTACAACATCAGCACGGAGGTTTGAAACGGGTCAGAAGACAGATGAATCGTCCGAAGGGAAAGTCATAGACAAGTACGCCAATTCGAAACTTTGATGAAGGGCACCCAGGTGCCCAGAATGATAATGGACACAGACAAAATGAGTCATTCGAACATTCGAATCAGTGCATTGGCTATCTCTCCCCTCATTGAAATCCTGCATTAGGATGACAGATGTCTTCAGTCAGGCAGGAGGCCTAGAACCTAGGTTTGGACTGGTTCTTGCACCTGGAATGTGGATTCTTGTTTGATCCAATATTACCCATAATGCTGTTTGTGAACGGTCGATAGATTCCTCACGTCAAGCTGGAAACAGCTAATGTGCTCATGCGCGAAAGGTGCCTAAAAGTTGGCGCAAATATAGTTGACAATTTTGGACATTTTCTAACAATCTTTGATAATATATTTTTGGTCTTGTTTATTCACGAATATTCCAAAACTTGTACCATTCCAGTGCGTGCCGCCATCTTGTTTCCGGCTCTCGCCCGAGATCGCAGCACGCTACTAATTCAAACCGATCGTTCAGTATGATGGCGATTGACCTTTGACCCTTCCAACATTCCAAACACTCTGTCCCGGTATTTTACCGGGAAGTTAGAAGTGTTCGACTCTAACTGGTGCAACCCTGTGTCGTTTGGCTGACAATGGCTCAATCATTTCACCTGAAAATAAAGTTTGGAAAATATTTTGGAAAATATTAATTTGGGATAACTTTTCATTCTAATGAAAACATAGGGTCCTCAATTTGGGGTGATCGTTAAAAACCTATATATTTACAAAAAATGAAAAGAATGACAACACTGTTGACAAATTGTTGAATTGCGCCAGCTTTTCTGAACCTGTAAGCATTACAGTGCCGCCACCGAAGTGAACCACCATACATAATGCATGTGTCTGCATAATACATAACGCATTAAATATTTAAGTTTATCAATAATTTCACCGCTCCTAGACTTAAAATCTGTACAAAAATTGTACATTTTTTCCAAATGGGGTGTAAACCAAATTTATTGCGCAGTCTTAATTTTACATTTTAGTCTTTTGAGGAAAGACCGACAAACTTAAACCGTCTTACTGTTAGATTAGTCCACCCCAAGAAAAAACCAGCTCAGAACGATAACTAATTAGATCATTATAGTTTGCATCGACCTTTATGTGGATATGGTTGGTATTTAGCATGCAATCCTTACCTCGGCTTATCAAGAATAATTGCAACCAACTATATGCGTATTCCACACTGCACTGTTTACTGAAATATATAAAGAACGCGTCAGCACCCATAGAAATCTCTCTGACTACAATTAAAGGATAATCTGTCCGTCAATAGTAGAATACTACAAGTAATTAAACAACCGAACAGACAAGATAGCGATACACCGAGACCGAGAAACTGAACACAGTTCCTCGCTCCTAGGATAACAAAAAGAAGAAAAAGCTTTGGGCTTGTAATTAGCGATTTGGCCTCCGCCATCCACAGCGTGAAATCATGCCGAGATGGCAGGCAAATTATGCAAGCATGAGACAATATGTGACTAAGGTTTTAAGAAGTGCAGATATTGTATGGAATACGTTGTAATCATGGGTTGACGAGTTTTTTTCCAGGAGATTTGTTGTAAATCTCCCTTCTTCTGTGGAAATCAACTGGTCTTTTCCTAATGAGGCTAACACTGACGTGTGGAACAATCTGCACAATAAATAGATATATACCGACTCCCGTATTAATCACACTATACCGCTATGTTAGAGGGTCGAGATAACTAGCCAGCAGTTGCCTCAGTTCGTGAAGTTGCTACTTTGTTCAGAAGTCGTGGCTTGGGTTCTGTCTTAAGACTTCCTGGAAAAATGACGTCCCAGTTTTCTGAGATGGTCCTGTCGCACAGTCGGCGAGGCTGGAGAGATGACCTGTGCACGTCTCAAGGGATTCAAACACCGACAACCTCCCCTGAACAAGGAGCGAGGACGCCCCGCGGCGTGGTACAAGTCATGTCCCTGGTTCTTGTCGACTAGGCGAAAGGCTCATGTCAGGAGAAAGACTTCTTAGACGCCTCAAAATTGGACAAGTCAAGTCCCATGTCAGGATGTGACTATAGCTTGGTCTCGTGCACACGGTATCAATCATGACCAATGCTTTATCAGTTCCCCAAACAAACACAGTATTGCTTAGTAAAATAGGATGTCATCATCACCATATATTGTAAGGACAGAGAAGTGAAGTTGATACATAAAATCCATGTTTAAATGTTGAAGAATGTCTAAATCTTATTTCAACAATTTCAATTTGAAATAGTCCATTTGATAAGAAAGTGTTTGTGTTCAGCACGCCTACCATGGGTACATCTCCGTGTGACAGACATTTCAAGCTTTTTGCCTGTATGATTTACGGGATGGCGTGAGATGAGACCAGAATTATGTTTCCCCCCGATACACGCCATTTCTTACTAATAGACTCTGTATGATGACTCACTTGAACATTAGCTTGTGACGCTGTTTGGGCCATGGAGAATTAATGTTGTGTTTCCAATTACGCCTTGAAAAACTAGTATCGGAAGGAAGGGATTCTTTCTTGTTTTTAAACTTAAGTCAAATTAATTCAACAAATAGTTCAACAATGTAATACTAAAATGCAGGACACTGGTAGTTGCAGCATCATATGTCACATGTACAGACGTACATTGTACAGACATAAGTATATTAATGAGCTGAACCGATAGATGTTTGCTACACATATCGCCTTTTATATATTGTTTATTTATATTACAGCAGAAATTAGAAGTACATGCTGAAAAATCGGTACTACAACGTTTTCATCACTCAGATGTCAGATTGAAAATTTGATTTCGTTGCTCACGGTTGACCCCGAAAACAGGCTCGGGTCGGCAGGGTGTTGCTGAGGTTGGTCGGATACGTGGAAACAAGACATGGTTTTTCCTAGGCCTTACCATATCTAGCTGCATGGTGCCTCATACTATCATAGCTTGTAAGCATGGAAACAGCATGGAATTTATTTGAATAAAAATGCTCCATTTGGATATTCCATTATCATATATATACATGTATATTTATGTGTATATAGATGCTCAAGGCCTTACATATGATCTCAATTAAGTTTTTATTAACAACTCTAACTTAGAAAGAAATATTACAAGCAAAAGACATCGGATTTCATTTGATAGAATGTGCAATTGAACAATTGCAATGTGTGGTCAACATATGCGCAAGACACCCATGCGAGATACAAGCTTATCACAATCTATCTGTTTTATTGCAATATCAAAACAATGTAGAAACAAATGTTTTGTCAGCACTCAATGATAATGAAATTACACAACACAATCATAACGCTGGAGAATGTTGCATGAGATGTAAATGAAGAATCGTTTTATGCTACAATGTGTAGAATTCTTCAACACAATCTGATCATCATTCACGGTCTGGATAGATTCCTCTAGGTCCTTAGTACTTTATTTAGAAAGGTATTCCTTACGAATTTTCTATCAAGCTTAGATGATTTGTCTTCATTGCTTTACTTCTTAGCCTACTGATACATCAAATCTAACTTTGGTTGCCTGCATGTCGGTCACATGCCGGTCACATGTGTGTCATGAATGCCTGTAGGTCATCTAAACTACGCCGTATCAAAGGAATGCCCTACCTGCCCGCATTAGCATTAAATTCCTTAACATGTGCGAGAGATACCACTGATCTTAAAGCTCAGACAAACAGGCAAGCCTCATGTGGCTATTCTCAATCTCTCTTTTCCTCCCCTCCTCTCTCTCTCCCCTTTTCTCTCTATACATGTTGGAAATGATCGTTCATTATAAGATAAAGACATCATTTCAAATTCATGTTAGCCGGTTGTTCTTGGGTAGTCCTGGAGCCGATAATGTTGTCTTTTTTTGTTTGATTTCGTCTTTTCGGCCGGTGCTAATTCTGATAAAATCTGAATTGTTTAGACACTCCAAAAGGACATCGCGTACGTTTCCCCAAAGGACACTTCGCTACATGCAAGATCTTGCCCGTCTGCCCACTGTCAAAGGGCGCAAGGATATACACAACATAGGGTCTTATCTATAAACCTGTCCGAGGTTTTGACATATGAACACAGACTAGAAACAAACAAAAAAGAGATTTGAAACCCCCAGGAAGTATTTAGAGTTTTGAATGTGTTTTGTTTATATCGTTGCTGTTGTGAATGTCTGCATATATATGTAGCAGCTCATTGAACAAAACATGAATGTAGGAGTAATTACGTCCCCTAGCTTACCTTAATCGTGCATTTCCAAAACATTGTTGACTCTAGAAACGATACTTGCATGAACACATTTTTTCCTTTGGCGTTGCTGACATGCAGACGCATCTTTTTGGAACAGTATGTGGCCCCGGTATGAATCGGCAAGCGATGGAGAAGCATTATGAATGTCGAGCAAGAAAAATTGTTTGCTGTATAGTGATGTAATCGAATAACGTTGGTATTTCTTGCATAATTAGTCATATGCAAAAGTGACGTTTCCGAAATGTGCTTTTACAAACAAAGAGACGTATTGTTGAAAATAAACTGTCCCACGACCTATTCTTCTTCGGACAAATACGGCCAAATATTCCCCATGCCTTTCATACGAAATCTAGAGAACACGCAAGATGTCGAAAAACACAATTTTATCAGAATAGCTAAAAGATTGTTCCTAGAGATATTGGTTAGCCCGTGACTGTCTTTTTTGCATGACGATGTCTATTATTGAGGAGAAATGTAAATTGTCATTTGATCAGTCCCAAGTCAGATTTTTTCTACCTTTATTTGCATAACTTTACCGTCCCTGAGCGTTATACAGTAGGGCATATATTTTACATGAAAAATGCGTGTTTTGGGATTGTGTGCAAACCTGCATCAACCATGCCAAAGAACAATCAACTAGAAGCGCACGTCATATTTGATTAATCGATGTTGTATGACTTTTGCTCCATGGCGACAGTTTGATATCTGTGTCATCATGTACTGTCGGTCAGGGAAGGTTGTTTACTTACAGAAAATTCCACGATAGAAATTTGCTCACCCGGCATATTTGATGCCTGGCTATATGTGAAGTAGAGGGGGGAGGGTAGAATCTCGACTGGGTGGTCACATGGGTCAGGCTGATGGTGC